TGGGAATGCATTTAGTGTGCACAGTTAGGCACAATTGTTCCCAATTCTGTAATTCGCAGCATTCCGCGGCTATCGCTCCTCTCAGATGTTACCCTCTGCTGGCTAAAGTCTTTGGCAAACTCTCTTTTTCCTTTCGAGACGTGAAACGAATCTACGATTAAACAACAGACGAGACAAAATGAGCACGGAACAATTTCACAATTCATGCACGTTGAGCAACTATTCCAGTTACTGATAAATTATTAGAAAAGGAAACGGAATTTAAGGTGAAACACTCTTAGACACAAAGGAGAAGACAAAAGAATAATAAAAATAAAATTCTTGTACAGCTCTGCTTTAAATAGCTTTTGATTGCAACCAGTGTGGGAGTTCAGTGCAAACCCATAAAAAATCTCGGTTATGAAGTGTCGTGCGGCTGTTTTATCATTACAGTCACGTCACAGTAACTTGCCCTTACCTCTTGCGATGCCGATGTTTCAGTTTCTTGCAAATCAAACCCGCCGCACACGGGCACTTTTGGTTCAGTGAGTAACCCAGACCACCTTCCGGTACATAGCAGTCTTCACCCTCTTGAAGCAAACGCCTGCAGATTGGCTCCCCGTGAACTTTAACGCAGCATAATCCGGAATCGCATTTGCGATCTTTCCTGCATCTTGCACCCTCTGTACCCCGAGGAACTGCTTTCCTGCAGAACCCAAATACGCACTCCAATCCGTTGCAGCACATGTTATTTCGACGACACGCAGATTCTACTGGCTTGCAAGCATGACATAAACCGTTGTGCTTGTGACAATATTTTCCTTGGCCACACTGTCTGTCTTTTCTACAGTGCTGTTGGAAAAATTTCAATTATAGTTAGAATTATCCTGTTTTCCTACTGGGTTATTGGTGAGCAATTCATGTCATATGCAGGGTTGGCATTTTATCTCCCTACTTACTCCTTGCACAGTTGAGTTTCCCTTAGTGTTGTTGTCAGGGCTGTTGCTCTGTTTCCCTTCGTCCGTATCAACAGGATTTACGCTAAGAATCCAACTGTATACAACACTATTCGCTACTTCCACAAACGCCAGGAGAAACACAACGAGCAGCATATATCTTTTCATGACGATGTGCTTGCCATGCAATTCACGCAGCTTTGACAGCGCTCAGTCTAAGTAGATCGTAAACGACTAATTAACCAACTGCCTTTTCACATAAATGATATTTAACACGTGTGACAGAAACACTGTCAGGACGTGGCCAATAACAGATGGAAATTTTTCAATAGCCGTGTGTACAATAGAAACGGGGGGGCGTGGAGGACTAATTAACGAGGAGGAGAAAAAACGCTTGCTCTGTCATTATTCTATTGATTTGTTAACTAATCTGCTCTTCAGGGCTTATCAAACGACTCAGTCCAAGAAACAACACTACACTTCATCGTATCAAAGCTCTGTTCCTTATTAGAGTAATAAGATTCTACGGAAATACAAGTAGGTTATCTTAATCCTAAAGATTTGGTACAAATATTTTCTGAAAGCGGTGCATTTTAAATACGTTCTAGATCATGTCAGTCTTGGAGGGCCTTGTAATTTATGTTAATTTAGAATGATAAGATGATAATATGGTGAGCTCAACGCTTCACTCGGCTAATATCGAGATTTAACTGAAGTGATTGTTCAAGAATTTCGTTAGCGCGTTGGGTGGAAATTTCAATTTTTGTTTTTGACGCGCACATAGTTTATTACAAATAAATTGTTTTTCATTTATCTTTTCCTTAAATTTATCCTAATTTATCTGGTTTATATCTATGATACGAGGCTATTAGTACATCGTTTGATATATGAATACTTGGAAACACTCCATGCGGGGGAAAACAGCCATGAAACACAAACTAACGACGCCAGAAATTTGATAATTAAATAAAGCGATTAACTTCGATTTTCGTGCCAAGGAAAAACTAAAAGAATGTTCTTCCACATGTGGATTTCCAAGTGATAATTTTCTTAAGCACTCGACAACCATGACAGGAAACAGTTCAATTAAATCTTTCAGTTATTTTGGCCTGGAAGGCTGATACAGTCATAATGCAATGAAAAGCGTGTCTGGCCAAAAATTTACTGTTATCGCTACCACTGAGCCAGAGTAGTGTGGAAAATCTGATGTTATCGATTAGCAAGGATTGTGGTCAACCACTAAATTTCCATCGCGCAACATAAACAGATAGGTTGGCGTACGACCAAGGATTAAAAATAACTTGCCCTAAGCGGCCATTTATGAGTACGGTGTATGATCCCTGACATGTAGGTCATTTGCTTAGATGACGTGATATAAAGGTGGGTTGCTGTCAACACTTCCATATGCATGACTTACGACGGTGAGTCAGATCTTTCAGCACATTCTCAGAGAAATACTTTCCATTTTGTAACAGTCCAAGGAAGCTACCGATGTATCTGTTTACATTTTGAATCAGCGAGATTTTCTCTCCCTCTGAGATAATTTCCCATCTTCTGTAAAAATTTAAATATTCCGGCAGTAGGTTGTGCAAAGCTCATCTGGAAAAGGACTGAATACGTGAGGACATGGAATTAACCAGCGACGACCATAAACTTAATCCAAGCAAAACCAAGATTCTTAAAAACACAGTAAATTCACCACGTAGCTGCCGTCGTAAATCCTAGACAAAAACAAAGATAACATCGATTATTCCCTTCAAAGCCTTACATGTTGTCATCACAATGAAATATTGTTTGAATGATTCAGTTGTTCCCGTTCATCTTCTTAGACCAGGCGTCAAGCGTGTGTTGATCACGCCCACTAATCTGTTAATTTTTAAAACTCATGAAATGCTGGAGTTCTCAATTTTTCCCTTTTTTATTCAACTACGCTCTGATATTGTTTGGAAATTTTAACATTGATGGCAGTTTTATCCGTCGGTGTTTGTATCGGTTTTTTCCATTCGAATGAAGATACTTTGAATAAATTAGAATGTGTTCGATTGCATAACTTCATGGCTGCTTCACCCGTAAATCTTTGTATCTCGATATTGTACCATAGTTTATCTATTATCTCCATTAATTCTCAAGCAAACCACAACACGACTAAGACAAATTTTGCTGTTCAATTGCAACTGTAAAATGATAACAGAATCCAATATAAAATTAGTAAAGGCCTTAAAATGGAGCTCACAATGTATTTTTTTTCTTTGATTACGTCCCATCAATCAAGTTAAGCCCCATTGGATAAGCCCCGCACCTGGATGGGTCTAATTTAATACTTTCCATATTGTTATCTTTTCTTTTATGCTCCAAATGACTTTTAACTTGCTACTGCAATGTAGCAACAGTGTCACTGTAGATAGTATCATCCGGAGCACTATTCGTGACCGCTCTCGATGGCGGACATACTTGTTTCAACTGTAACTACAAGAGCCTCAATATTTGCTGCAGGCGGACTTCATTAAAGCTAATTACTCACTATCAACAATCAATACACTATCTGTAGGATCGCTCTTACGATCATCACTGCACAAACCAAGCAGTCGTTTCCCCCCGACAACATACAGTGGGGTTGGCCAGCCTTGTCGTGCAGCCATTCTTTCATCCACTCGATATATTTTCAACAGAAACGAAAACCCTTGAAACAGAAAGATGGACGAGTTATGTAACAACCTCAAGTACCTGTGACGGCGAATATAGTTTACTGAATTTTCCTGAGCCATCAAGATATATTTTAACTTTGAGCATTTCTTGAACTGTATACGCATGTGAGAAAATTGGCCGAGCAAAGAATCTTTAGTCTTCTATGAACAGTTTTTTCTATCATTTGTCACAGTATCCGAAGCATTTAATCGAAAATATTTCAATTTTTTCTTGTTGTTGTCTCTTTACAGATTATTTTCGTTCCTATCAAGCATTAAGTTTTCCACTGACAAACTTAATTTTCCAGCAATCCACACGCAAGTCATAAAATTTAAAATAAGCTCCTTAAGGTTTCAAATGTCATCTTGACAGGAAGCTATGTGATAAATGTGTTATTGCCCAAGCGCGAGGTCAAAATAATTGTTTAATAGCTTTAATTCTCGTTCTTCAATTCTTGCGGTTCGAGGTTGCTAAAAAAGGCAACAGAGAGCCGGATTTTATTGTATGGCAAGAAGATTACCACAAAGTATTTCTGTATAAACTCTCCAAAATCGCCGTGGTCTTCCCTAATTTGACTTCCTCGAAGAGCGCGCTAGACCTTGTTTCTGACAAAACTGTGGGAAAACATACTTTTCGTAAAAATATTTAAGCTGCCTGGAAATTACGACGAATGTCAACCAGCAACAGGCTCTATTCACGATATTGAAGCGGGCAATGAAGCAGACATGATTGGTCCGTCGTTTAGCCAATTAGAAAACAAGATCCGCTTCATCTTGCCCATGCGTTGAGCCAGTCATACAATAATTAAAAATATTGACCAAACAAAAAACAGGTCTATAGCTCATACCAAATGGGAGCTTGATTTATCACGTCGCTGTGCACCGTATGCCAACTAATTTCAAGGGAATGCTGAACGTAATGAACGTGTATGCTGCCCTGACAGAGGACCAACAAGATAATTGGCTTTTTTCAAGTATTTTTTTTTTTTTTACATAGACAGAAACAAACGCTTATGCTTAGTGTGCTCAGTACGGATCAATTTAACCGCACTGAACCATCAAAGCCACACAGTAGTCTCGTTCATTTAACGCTGGGATAAACAGCGTGTGGAATCCTTAGCTCCTTCGTTATATCGGCGCCACAATTTACCAGGGAAGTCGGTCGGAAATTAAGAAAACTGAGGTTATTCAACCCACGTTTCCAATTCGCAATGTAGTTTCATTTAAACTGTTTTTTCAGGGCACTTTGTTGAGATAAACCTTTATCGCATAACACCAACAAAGCTTTGCCGGTTTATCGAGACCATCGCAATGTGCTCATAATAATATGCACATTGCAAACATTCTCTGTAAGCACTTTTAAAATATACTGAGTCATTCGTCCTTGAAAGAATTTAATGTCAATTTCAAATGTATTGCAAAAAAAATCTCGTTCATACAAGTTATGATAAAACTGAAAACTAAAGAAACTCAAATATAGAAACACTTCCAGTTGTGCTGGTTGCTGTTGAATCTATGGGCTATAAATTAAGACGACGATAAGAACTTTCACTGAGAAACCTTGTTTCTTGGTAGCACATTTTACTTGTGTTTACAATCTAACCAGTTGTTAGAAATTGGGGCTTACAACACAACGAATACGCTTGGTATTGTTTGGTATTATAATCAATCTTTGATCTGAAATATTTAAAAACTTTTCTTCTAACAATTTCCCGCCTCATTAATCTTTTATTTACTACAGATGACTCTTATGGGAGTCTACACAACATAACAATGCACAAGTTCTCTCTAAAACGCGCTACAACATTTATTCATAGAGAATCTTTCCTCCGCAAAACGAAGCTAATATCGCTAAAAAAAGTCAATCGCCATCCACAGTCGTCAAGCTGAGGTCCAGTTTTATTTAATAAAATATGGCGGGACGATCCCTAGTTATTATACATAGTTCACCAGAAACAAACTTCACCAATTTCAACCTCTAGTTCTCCAGCTAAATCGTAGGCAGCAAAGTCAACAATCGGCAACCGGGAGGCTTGTGTGGTTGTAACAACAAATTGGGTGCTGCGTTGAGATCCATCCTTCACCTGACGAAAAAAGAAAACGCCCTCAGGTGAGAAGGAAAAGATGAATGAAAGAGAAAATAAGATGATGACTTTCTTAATACTGTCGAACTACTTCGGTCTACAGGTGAGGAGTTCAGGGAAAGAGAGGGGAGTGGGGTTGAGGAGAGGTTGAGTTCGAGAGACGAGAGGAGAAAGGGTGGAAAGCGGGAACGACGAGGGCGGAAAACGGGAGACTAACGTAAAATTTTTTAACTCAGTAAATCACCGAAATGCACGGCTTCGTTGTAACAGGTAGAAGAGGAGAGTCAGAGATGGTGGAGAGAGGAGAGAGATGGGTCGGGAGGTGACCTCTCCTCTACATACAAGAAAAACGCTTTCATAAAAACCAGAAGGGTCTGAAAACAATCACCTATTTTAATTAAGACTCCATAGTTATAAAAGGTTAAGTTAAAAAAATGTCTAAGGTAAAATTTCACCCATCTTAGAAAAAAAAAGAACCAGTGTGTTACAAGATAATATCTTGTGGTGCTCATAAACTACTCAGCTCCTTTAGAAGGTTCTAACCTTTTTTGTTTCTGAACGAAACCTTTGTTTTATGACCTTTCAGTAAAAGCTAGTGAGCATTACTTTCAAGTGATACTGTTCACCGAGCATAAGAGGATGGTTCTCTCCCTTTAACTGGGGATTAAACCTCATCGTGGGACAATCCAAATAAAAGTTATCTAACAGTTTTTTTTCGTTTGGTACTCTTTTCATAATATTCTGTGCAAGATGGTTGTATGTCAGTGAATAATATGTGTGTGACTTGTCGAATGAAAGCTTCTTCGAAATTTTTTCATGACGAGCCTTTTTCATAACATGTTATATAAGCTATAATCAAATGATGAAAAGTCAGGTTGGAGAATTCTTACCTTGCAACCGTCATTGGGAACCTTGATCATGGCTTTCTTTGATTTGGATTTGGAGCTAAACTCGTGGCCGTTCACACCCTCAAATTTAACCGCTTTCTTAAAAGTGCGGGCGCTTTGGTCGTACCAGGCCACCGAGTTTTTACATTTGAAGGTGAACTCCTGTTGGGCGTGGTTACTACGCAGTTGTAGATGGTACAGTTGGATGTCGTCAATATCGTATTCAATCTAGAGGAAATAAACATACAACGATGAATACCAGGTGCAGACAAGGAGAGTTTGTTTATTAATAAAGAATCCTGTCGTTTGCCTAGATATTTGCCTGATATCGGAGAAGGCTGTTCCTTCCTGCCAATTGGATTATTTCTCTTCACGTCGGTACTGATTATATGTATGATATGAACTATAGAAATGTGCGGTGGCGACGCCCGAAACTTTGCGATTTAATACTGCAAGTCTATCCAGTTTTTTGATGGTTTTTTCTTTCGTTAAGTGTTTTTAAACCGAAAGTTAAGTTCCCAACCACGCTTATTTTCTTTGTAATTCAGATCATGAAATGACTTCACCTTAATGTCTTAAGAGGAACGTCTCTGAGGCAGTTTAAACCTGTTTGCTATACTGACATATTTGATTCTTGGATTTTCAATGGGATTCTCGTCAAATGACTTTATTCCAGATCGTAAACTAACCTTGTTCTCATTATTTAGGTCCTCAGAAAACCATGCGACTTTCATCCTAGGATCTACTTGGGTTTTCCAGGTACTCTTGGGAATCTAAAACACAAACATATACAAGTAAAAGATTGGCGCCGCAATCGGTTGAGAAACCACGTGCTCAATGATCCAACCAGATACAGCTTAAACTTGAACCAATCGTATACAACTTACACATGTACTGAATCAAATACAGCTGAAACCAATTACATAGAGCTAAAACTCAAATCAATCAGATACAGCTAAAACGTGAATTAGTCAGATACAGCTTTAACTTGAACAAATCAGATACAGCTAAAACTTGAACCAATCAGAGAAAACTAATGCCTGAACCAATCAGATAAAGCTTTAACTTGAATCAATCAGATAGAGCTTAAATTTGAACCAATCAGATACAGCTAAAACTTGAACCAATCAAAACATCTAAAATTGAACCTATCTGACAAAGCTAAAATTGAACCTATCAGATACAGCTAAAATTGAACCAATCAGATACAGCTTAAATTGAACCTATCAGAGACAGCTAAAACTTGAACCAATCGCTAGCTCGTACAAGTGACTTTTATGTTCTTTTAGATTTGAACCTCCTCTAGACGAGACCCACGCAGAATTTTGTCACAAACCTTTGTCATTTTAGGCCTGATGCAAGTAGCTTGGTTGGTAAAATTACAGTGTACAGTGATCTGGTCATTTGGAGATCCACCATTGGGGTCGATATCATATTCGCCTGAATCAAATCAGAAAAAAAAGCGTGTATAACTGTACTCGTCATACATTAGAAAATGGATAAAGAAAAAGTTAAGACCTGTTAACTACACAAAAATCCAATCACGTTTTAAACCATTTGGATTTTAACCAAACTTTATCTAAACGATGATTTTTGTGAATACTATCTTAATTGCCTGGAGTTAACATTGGAAAATAAAATTGTTTTGCTTCAAAGATGTAAAAAACTTAGCCATCAAATCTTGAGAGGGATATGTAAGCCTTCCTCACCATCTTTGAGTCTAATACCAGAGTGACACAGCTGAAGATCTCTACAAGTTTTGGCAGGGAAATACCGTGAATTGTCACGGTGTTCCACATCATACATCTTCTGGGAAAGCTCGGCGATACGGTCCAAAACTTGCATCTCCTAATGACAGTATAGATTTGCTTTAATATAACACTAACAATAATAATAATAATAATTATAATAATAATAATAATAATAATAATAATAATAATAATAACTGTATAATAACAACTATCACATTTACACTAAAACAATTACATTATTCGCTCTCGACCTCTATGCGTGACCGTCGATGAGGGCGAATCATCACGCAAAAGGACTCGAAAGCTCATTATTTAATTGCTAAAAAGACGCACAGGGGAAAGTTTGAAGGACAAAAGAGAAGAAAAGCAAACTGCCCATTTTTATGTTATATTCTCACGGCCCTTTTGCGGAGATATCTTTAAATCTAACAGCAGCATTTAGGAAAAAAGGGAAAAAGGAAAAGAAAAGGAAAGAAAGAAAGAAGAAAGGAGCTAGAAGGGAAGTGAGGAAAATCTTATCTCATTGTTTATCTTAAATCATATACATGCCTGGCTCAAGTCCGAGGAAAATCTCACAAGACTAACCAGTCACAAATCAAATCTAATCTAATCTTTCATCACAGAATCTAAATGCAAGAAATGATCTTGGCAAGTTACACACCTCGGATACAGCTGATCGTCGTTTCTGCGGACAAGTAATTAAACAAAAAAAGGTTAATCTCATGTCAGCAAAAGTAAGATGGATATTGCAACAACACAAACCAAATCGAAAAGCCTTTTTTCTTTTACTTAATCAACGCATATTTATTGATTGCTCATACATTCAGTCATTCAAGCTCTCAAAAGTTTATTCAATCGTTTGTTCCGTCAGTCAGTCAGTCAGTCAGTCAGTCAGTCAGTCAGTCAGTCAGTCAGTCAGTCAGTCAGTCAGTCAGTCAGTCAGTCAGTCAGTCAGTCAGTCAGTCAGTCAGTCAGTCAATCAGTCATTCAATCAATTAGATGTTCACCAATCCATCATCAATCAATCAGTCCCACAGTAAATTATTCAATAAATCATCAAGCAATCAGTCAGTCAGCAAGTCCCTCAGTCAGTCAATCATTCCAGCTGGACGTACCCTTCCTTCAGGCGATTCTTCCTCAGTCTCCTCCTCAATAGGTCCTGGTCCGGGGCCGCCTGGACCCTTGGGTGGACCACCAACGCTCGTACGTATTTGTCTGGGAGCTGGATAGCCAGGTTCACCCTAACAATTACAACAGCTCTTATTACTCTCCGCTACATTGCTTTTGGAAAAGACAATTATATAGAGGTTCTAGAGATGCCACAACTTAGCAGGTTCACCGGCACATAGACTGTCCCCAGTTTTGGTAGGCGCTTATTTCACTCGCTCTTCGCGTTAATTCACCATAAAAGCTTTTGTACGATTTGTTTACGGTTTATAATGGAAGAAAAAAATGAAATAAAGTGGGGGCGAGTGCCTTTGCTTCAGTGCCGCTTAACCCTGGATACCAGTTTTCCCGCGCATGTCTCTGGTTCCATTTTTTCCCGCGCCTGTTCCTAGCTTCGTGTTTCCCGCGCTTCTTAAGCACCAACTTTCTGTTTCCCTGCTCATTCATGTCGCTGACTGCATATTTTAGCCAAAACTGCGTTGTTTGATGAATTCTCTTAAAGACTTTACGCCAAATCCTAAATACTCCTCCTTACAAATTGCTAATTCTTAGCACTTACACGTTCTCCTGGAGGTCCCGGGGATCCCTGTATGAGAAACAGCAATACACTATGAAATGAGCATTGACGTGTTGCAAAAGAAGATTACGAAAAAGTGTACGTTGAACTAAGTATTTACTTGAAATTGACCATTAAAAGTTAACAGAAACTAAGCAACACTACGTAGTGCACTGAAAATCGTTGAGAATAACTTACCTGTTTCCCTGGTGTTCCCTGTCGGGAAAAAGAGGATACGATTAAAATGGACACACACACACACAAAATTCACGAGGATTAGTGTCAACTTTCGTCGTGAAAAATGAAAAACTTCTACGCTTATTTCGATTGGATTTACGACAGATTTACAAAATTTAGGGTCACCACAATAATCACGACTTGTTCTCCGTGCTTCTTCATGTTGAGGCAGGACCACAAGAGAGGCCGAGCCTTTTATGAAACTCGGTAAACAGTGCAAAAAGAAATTATTTGCGGTAAGGAATATGTATCAAAGAAATAAGGCAAGAGAACTAACCCGAACGATAATTAGTTTAGGGTTTGTTATTCGTTAACGAGTCCCGAACCCTATTGTGATTGGTCAATTAACGACTGACAGGTCAATTCAACGTGCTATGGGTTTCGCAGTGAAAATAAGGTTGCATGTAGCATAGCATCTGCGAAACGAAAGACTTTCCTGTAAAATTTTCTCCAAATGTTTTTGAAACCATCATTTAACCGATCAGTTAAGATAATATTTATCTTACCCCGAATCCCCTTGGGCCCTGTTAAGAAAATAAAAAAACAGGAATATAAGAAGATAAAAACATAGAGAGATATCAAAACATTTTCGATTTTAAATAAATAAGGTAACATTAAGTGATTTCTCCTAAACAAAATAAACTCTAGAGAAACATCCTGTGAGAGGAAAGTATTATAAGCTGTTTCCCTAAAATCTATGGCGACCACTATTAATATTCAAATGACATTTATTGAATAATTTGTTATTCGCACAATCAAGATCATACACGAATGATTGAGAGTGCTACTAGCAACAAAACAAGGCTTTTTTGTAGTCAAAATCAAGCCAAGTTCTTGTTGTGGTACTCATAAAAATAGCCTCTATAAGGCGCGAAAATATGCTTGGATATTTGTTCCCGGACAGTCTCTGTTTGGTTTTGGGCAATTTACGCTACAGACTGGTTAAGACTTTTATCAAATACAACACTTGATTCAACCTCTGCTGCAGAGGAAGACTCAGCGAAGAACGAGAATCAATGCTTTTTCTTTTAGTGAAGAGAATAAAAAAGGTGTGAGACCCACCGGTCTTCCTCTAGCTCCTTTGGCTCCATTTGGGCCCTACGAACAAAACACAGAAATCCAATATTTCTGATTGAATTAATGACAAAAAGAAAAGCAATGCTCGCGAGAAACTATCTTAATTACTCAGAATGACTCCAGAGGTCTTGGATTTCAGTTTTCACTTCTCATTTTGACACACAACAACAATAAAACAATGAAATTAGCAACTCACCGGTAGGCCCTGGAAACCATCCTGTCCGGGTTCACCAGGAGGGCCTGGGTCTCCCTAAAATAAGAAAGGAATAATTCTTATGATTTGCTTCGTGTTACAAGTAGAACGAAAGCATTATTTTGCACTTTATAACTCTTAATATGAAATTATATCTGTGAGCTGCAGATTAAGAAATGAGTAAGAAAACGATCTCAACAGAAATGGACACCACTTAAGCAGAAGAGAAAAAAAGGCCCAATAAAAATTCAGGCCTGCACGTGATTTGAAACCAGTGCTCTACCAACTGAGTGAAGTGCTCTACCAAGCGAGCTAATAAGCCTCACACAAAAAAATATGAAGCAAGGAGATGGGAGACAGAGTTTGGGAAATAAGGATTTGTCTTCTTAGAGCCAGCTCTGAACAAAAGAGAAACGGACGAGTAACTTTGTGACAACTCAGTGTTTGTTTTCTGATACCACGACAACAGATTGAGATTTTTGATCATTATACAAACCGTGGTTCCTGGTGGTCCTGAATCTCCGTTGAAGCCTGGGATTCCTGGCTTTCCCTGATAAAAAGAAGAAACACAATCAATTATCCCTTATCTGGTCGTCATGGTTACCAAATAATGAGCAGTGCTGAAGACGAGATGTTTCGTCAAAGTGAGAAGAGTTTAGCAAATAGAAACCCCTTGCTCTCCGCTGGCCTTTCCAAAACCGTTTATTTATATACCAGAGGGCCCTAATTTCACTTGCAGTCTAAACGACGATCGAAGAGAAAATAGGTCTGTGAACAGTCTACCTCAAACTCTCGTTTGATGATACTAACAAGATACAGTGGGACTACCTCTCTGATACTACTTCTCGTGTGACTGCTTTTGCGCAGTGAGCCGCAATTACGTGACCAGATTTGTGCTACTGCCCTCGTGTGACTGTTCTTGTGGATTTAACTGCGTTTACGTGACTGGATTTGTGTGACTGCCCTTGTGTGCCTCTCTTTGTGCAAGTGGCTGTGTTTGCGTGACTGGCTTTGTGTAACTGCCCTTTTGTGACGGTTTTTTTGGAAGTAGCTGCGTGAGCGTGAGTCTATTTTTGTGACTGCCCTTGTCTGACTATTTTGTGAAAGTTGCTACGTTTACGTAACTGGCTTTGGGTGGACTACCCTTGTTTGACTGTTTTTGTGCAGGTGGCTGCGTTTCTGTGACTTGCTTTGTGTAACTACCCTTATGTGACTGTTTTTGTGCAAGTAACTGCGTTTCTATGAATGGCTCTGTGTGACTGCCATTATGCAACTGTTTCTGTGCAAATAGCTGCGTTTCTGTTACTCTATTTGAGTGGCTGCCCTTGATGGAGTTAAGCCCATTCCAAAGTTAAGGGGAAAAAAATGATAATAATGATAAGAGTAATAATAATAGTAATAATACTAATAACAATAACGATAGTACTGTCTAATAAACCTTCAACTTGTAATAATAATAATAATAATGACGATTTTAATTATTATTATTATTATTGTTATTATCATTGTTAATACTATTATTATTACTATTATTATTATTATCATTATTACTTTTATCATCTTTTTTATGAAGTCTTGCTTACCAGTCGGCCTTGGAGACCTACGCGTCCAGGCGAGCCCTGCATACCACGTACACCCTGACAATAAAATATGATATTTTCATAAGAGATCGATCCTTTGTCATTTTTTTCTTTTTAAGGCTTCAAAATGGTGTTATTGTTTTTGCCTTAATCCTAGTGACGTGTAATCACAAATGTTTGGCTATTCAAATAAATGTTACAGATCTACGTATGGTAGGGAGTTGAAAATTTCGGTCAGTTTTGGGAGTTCATTCACCATCAGCGTGTCTTAGCGCTCATGGCATCGTGCACACGGTAAAATAGAAAGCTTTGCTTATCACATAAGTTAAGGCACTCTTGGAAGTCCATACCTTCTCTCCCTTGCTTCCCTGGAGTCCACGAACTCCTTTCGCTCCTATCGGTCCCTAGAACAGGAGCAGGCACCATACAGTCAGAGTTAGAAGTGGTGAAGAAAGCAAAACTGTTGTTTACACTAAATAGCATACTTACAGAACTACCACCAAGTCCTCGTTCACCGTCTGGGCCATTCTCGCCTGGAGCGCCCTAAAGACAAAAATCACTGATTAAAACTGGTTTAAAATGGAATCGGCTCAGATGCAACAAGCACATTACCTTTTTCACCATAAGAGTGGTTTAAGTTGTTTTTTGTGTCTGCTCGCTTGCTTTTGGTGCCCATGTTTTTTGTATTTTTTGTGGACTTTTAAACTATTTTTTTGGCTTTTTTTTGACCTTTCAATCTTAACTATGTTACGTTAATAAAAGCCCACACACGAAAACTGTCCTTTTGGTCTTAGTTGGGAGGGGGGAGGGGGGGGGGGACTCACAGGCACAGCCCCTAGGCTTCCTCGCCAGGAATGAGATAATGATTGTATTATTCTCATATGAACATTGTAAATATTTTCTAGCGAAATAACTCAATCAATCAAGATAACAAGTTATTTCTGAAACTGTTCCTCCCCTATCAACTTCTACTTGATAATCAACCAGACAAAATAACATAATCATACTTCAAACGTCTCCAAATGAGTTTACGTCATCACATGACGACGGAAAATGTACCTGTCTTCCAACTGGTCCACGGTCTCCCATGGAACCTCTCTGCCCAGGTCCTCCGCGAGGTCCTGGTGCACCATCATCTCCATCAAGCCCCGAGAATCCTCTATTACCCTAGGGTATGACGACATCACTTGGTAAACAAATCGGCAAATCAAAGAAGCAGATCAACTCTGATCTGAATAACTCTATCGAAACGACAAAAGCGCGATAAAATTACTCCATGAAGCTGATGGGCCCGAGTATTTACTATCCTAAACGTACATGCAGTTTTAAACTCTTCACAAATCCAAAGAAATTCAATTCCTTTTTTATGAAAATTTTTAGTCTCATCTTTGAGCTTGATTACAGCTACTCCGGTATTCAAGATTATTTAGTCCATGTCAAAATAGTTTGTATACGCTGGATTTACTTTACAACAATAGCGCTCGACGATGTTGTATAGATTTTTTTGGTGATGTCCATTGCCTGTTGAAGACGATTTTAATATTTACTCGAACACTGCTATCGTAAATTATAGGCTCCTCGTTTACAAATTAATTTACAAACTAGTAAAACTCCTGAGAATAGTTTTTACCTTTTCTCCGCGCGCACCCGGGTTACCCGGGGCACCGGCTTGACCAGGCGTTCCCTAAAATACAACAGAGTACATATAGTAAAAAACAATCGCTCCTCGGAACAATAAAAAATAGAAAATCGGTGAGGGTACTGAAAATGGTCACCAAGACTATACAGGGATGGAAATGAATCGATAAAATGAGAGAAAATATTGAAAACAAAGTACAATTTGAACATTGCAACTTACATCTGTGCCAGGGAATCCAGGTTTTCCCCGAGAGCCCGGAGGTCCTGGGCGACCCTAAAACAAAGCATGAAAAAAATATCAGTCATGTAAAAACCTTTGACGATAATAATATTAATAATAACAACAATTATAATTAAGATGACGATAATAATAAAAGAAAGTAATTATTTAGCCTAATTATTTCAAAGCGTTCAGTTCGTTAAACGGAGCAAAATAGCCTACGGCGCAATAGTAGCGCAGAAGTGAAAAATTTTGGGTCGGGTCGGGTCGGGTCGGGTCGGGTCGGGTCGGGTGGGGTCGGGTCGGTTAAAGTACGGTGCTTCTTAAGCGACCTAACCCCAACATTTTTTTCATTCCTCCTCTTCTGTTTATTATCGCATTTCCTTTAATACCTGAACGCCTGGAACAGACAAGTGATTATTGTATCAGAGTAGAATAATACCACAATCTAAGGGGAATTCCAGCACAGACAGATCTAGAGACATGCTCCGACCGGACTTCGTCATCAAGAACAAAAATAAAAAAGTAGACTACTAATCGAGATATCCATCCCGACTGACACGAACACCTTAGATAAGGTTACTAAAAGACTGGTTAAATATTAAGACTTTGATATTAAGATCAAAAGAAACGAGTTATGAAAGCCACATCAGTACCAATGATGATTGCAGACCCTGAGACTCGTTAAGAAACGAATGGAGATATACAATAAATACATTCAGGATAACGTGAAAATACAAGAACTACTGAATATTACATTACTTCCACCATCCTATAAGACAAGCAATATCCTATAAAAAGACTACTACTCCATTACAACCCTTGACCCGAGAATGGGCCTGGCCACTATGCCTCGTTAGGGCATGTGATGAAGGCAAACTTCATAATAATAAGAATGGCGATGATGATAATGATGATAATGATGATAATGATGATAATGATGATAATGATGATAATGATGATAATGATGATAATGATGATAATGATGATAATGATGATAACAAGAAAATATCAGACTCATTAGTTATATATTATAATAATAACTGAGAGGATAACAGACCCCTTCTCCTGGCGAACCATCGACTCCGTTCTGACCTGGTTCACCAGCTTCTCCCTAAATCCGAAGGAACGCGAGTAAATAAACAAACACTGAATACAAAGCCCTAGTGGTAAGAGCGCCACTTGCCTTTCACAGTGCCTTCCCCCACACGAATTGCCTTTCACATTGCCTCTCCCCTCCCCCCCCATACACACACAATCACAGCACCATCAAGGCGTATAGGTAGGTACCACGAAACCTCACCAAGATTCTGGGGGCAACCTTGCGATGGACAAGCATCCTTTTTAGCGCAGGGGTGTGGGGGATGGAAGTTCTAATACTTCTTGTCACTTCATGTTATTGAAACCGGGATGAAATTCGGTTCTTCTCTCCATTTGTCTGGATAGAAAAGTAGGATTGGAATTGTCTACCAGAGTTCATCGCGCAAAGGCAGAAAATAACAACCTTTGAAGGCGATTGATGATATTTTGGCGCAAATCGTCATAGGATATTTAATCTTTTCTCTTTTGTCGGGAATAAAATCGAACAAATCTTCACTTTCAGGGTGAAACTTACCCGTGGTCCTTTGCTGCCAGGAGGTCCTTGAGGACCACGAGCACCTTCTCCTCCCTACAGAAAGAAATAACTGCATGTTTGAAAATAATAATAATAGTAATAAACTGCATTGGATTAAGCATACACCCTTGGGAAGTAACCATACCTACTTCATGCTTTGAAACCGGAGTTAATCTCGGTCGGATGGATTTTAAGATACGCTAACTTCAATTTCGTTTGAATTTTTAGTGAATTATTTATTGCAATTCGTTATTCAGCCTTAATTCCTTCAACGCTGGAAACGACAAAGGGAAGACAAAGTCAGAGTTACTTCCAAGCTCCATTTCTCTCAGCCAATCAGAATGAAGAAATATACTTACTGATGACCCCGCATCTCCTCTTGGCCCAGGAGGACCAGGAGGGCCTGGAGGTCCCTGGAGAAAAAAATAACAGACAAGTGTGACTGATAGAACAATTTACTGCATCTTGTAAGCGAGTTTGGAACAGCACCAGGTCACTTTTCATATTTAATTCATAAGCGGCCTTTCAAATGGCACTGATTATCGCACGGTACAAGGTGGATAATTTTTAAGGAAACGAGCAAAATCCCACTGTGTGACCATCAAATGAAAACGAATGAGTAGTTTTCCCGTGTGGTACTGTTTATTATGCTGTTTTAAGTGGACCTAACGTTAAAGTCAAAGAACGTAACCCTAGTGCCTGACCTGGAAGCAATTTCTATGTGTTAATGTTCATTAAAAGCTGTGCAAGATAGTTCTTACTTTACTGGGAATGAAAGCTACTGGGAATTACTGTCAAGTGGCGAGCAGTACTCACTAGTGGTTCACTTTCCTTTTTGTCCAGATAATGAAGTCTTGGCGCGTGATAAAAACTGAAGCGTATTTTCAAGTGGTCTTGTTTGTTTACATTGAATCTAAGAGTGATTCATTTTGAGTAATTAAAAATAATCAGCTCGATCCTCACCCGCCTGCCTGTTTCTCCTGGTTTTCCTCGAGCTCCAGGTCGTCCATCTTGACCCTGTTAACACCGAGAAAAAATAACCTCAGAGTAAACTTGTCCATAACGATACAGAATTGCAAAGGGGAATTGTCCACACCGTTTGTGGTAAACTTTCAGAGTACGACATACTGTTACAAAATCAAAGAAACCGTTCATAACCGTTCGTTGTGTGCTTTACGTCACTTTATCCTGACTTGGATTTCTGTATTCGTGTTTTGTCTACCACAATGTTTTTAATATACACTAAGAAAGTTTCGGCAAAGATTTCTGTCATAATAAATAATAACTACTTTACTTAAGTAACATAAAACACAATTTAACCAAAGCTTATGTCTTCGCTTTATCACTACTCCAAGCCTTAACGGTAGTTAAGTTTGTAGAGTAACACTGAAACGAGGGCTGCGTAATTCTTATTGGTGTAAAGGTTCTTAAAACATCAATTTCTTCGTCAACTAAACGCTACAAACTTTCAAGGAAACTTGGGGGGAGGGGGGGGGGGAGAGAGATGATGGTTATTTACGCTGGACAAGTATCCCTCCAGGAATCGGAGGAAAGTTTGTTCCTGATTCCGTGGCATGCTATGAAAAATAGGAGACAATCCAGCAAGAACAGCTTGATCTCTTAAGAATGACCTTACACATTAATAAAAACTATGGAAAGAAACGCTTTGAATGAAAATGATAACTGCTGGTAGGAAGACTCACAGATTGACCAGCTAAACCTTGCTTGCCGTCGGCACCAGGCTCACCCGGATCACCCTAAGAAGGAAAGACAACAAATAAATTACGACAGAGACAAATGATACGTCCCAATGGAGCACCGCCTCATTAACCTTGAGTTTTCCTTGCTTTCCTCGTTTTTTGTATTTTTGCTCCCTTTTGTCTTACGTCAACTGTGTCTTCTACACTAAGCGAGTTCCTAAATTAATTAGCTTGGGTGATTAACACCTAAGTGAGTAGGTCACACAAAAATTGCCGCTTGAATGGAATCTGTTTGTGCGTTGAGTTTCAATTTTCACGTGCAGATGTACAACATTACAGTTGCTCTGCTTCATTTAAAAAACTGCATTAAAACTGAGTTCTTTAACAATGTATGAGTTAGCACGTTTGTTGCATGTATGTTGGGTTCAAGAACAGACTACGACTATCAGCCTTAGTTTTTTTCTTTAAATAGCTGCCAAACATTGACTACAACCATACCTTTGGGCCGTCCAGTCCTCTCTCGCCATCTGGACCTGGTGGTCCCTCCGGTCCCTAACAAGTGAGTACAAATCAATCAGAGCAGTTCTCAATCATGCGTCAAAACATGGGACAAGGGAACAAGGCAGCCTAAACACGCCCCTTCTTAAGCAAGTAATGAATTACTTACGAGAAGTCCGATAGGTCCTGGAGATCCACCTTCTCCGGGTGGTCCAGAGGAACCCTATTTATGACAAATAGCAAGTAAAAACGAGTAGAAAAAATTCCACGTATGCATGAAGGATCTAAGCACCTCTTGGTACACACATATGTACAATACAAAGAGCCTCAGCTCGTTATGAGCAAAATGTTCACCATTGGTTATAAGAAAAAAAATCTTCGAAAAATAAATGGCTAAAAAATCACCATCACAAAGGCATAGCGCAATAATCAACTTGCGCACAAAAAACATCAAAATGTGACTCTCTATCTAAACATTCTGTCTCTCTCTTTCACGCGCGATAATCGTGCACGCTGCGTGTGGACGACCTAAAGCTCGCGGGCGCTTGTTATGCGTATTACGCCAGTTTATGTCTTCTAACAAATAAATGTTAACTTACAGGTCTTCCGATGGAACCAGCGGTTCCCGGCTGTCCAGGAGATCCAGGGGGTCCCTATACCAAGAGAAGGCAACATTAGCTATTGTGTTTGTTACTGATTTAATAGCCAAAATTTATCCTTGAAACCGCTCGTCATTTCTTTTTTAATTAGGTAATTAGGTCTTTAAGATCTCGTGAGATTACTTCATCTCCAGCTGACATGTTTTCATACTCTTGTCACTCGCCTGCTAGAAGATGTATTGATATTCGAGGCCAAAGGTGCATGTCAATCACATTTGGGACAGTATACTTTTTTAAAGTTACGCCATATTTTGGGCGACTGGCTTCACAGAATAAGACACAGTGCACATATCCACCACCTTCACCGACACTGAGGTGAATGAATGTTTAGTACATAGCGAAACAAAGCAAAAAAATTTTTTTCTATCAGAATACCGAAAAATGGTTCGAAATTTAACTCTTGACAGGCAATTTCGTCTTTTCGACTGTTCGGAGGTAAAAAGTACTCTCTAACCGTTATTCACCTGCGTGGCATCTAAAAATAAACCATACAGTAAAAACAGAGTATTATTAAACCAAGACAAATGACCTACCGGAAAAAAGGAAAATATCACTAGAGAGCCGACTAGAAGGGATCATAGCGAAAACGAACAAAAGGCCTGAGGTGTGTGAAAAACTCAGCCGAGTGACCGGCGCGCAAAGCCTTTGCAAGCCTCGATTACTTTTGCAATTCAATTGAAGACTTTTCATTTTTTATTCCTCTAAATTCAAAACAAGATTCAGACTTACAATTGGCCCAACATCACCATCAGGCCCAGGTTCGCCACTATCCCCAGGAGATCCCTACAAAAGTAAAAAAACAGACCGTCAAAGACTGCATGTGGCTACTGGTATAGCACAATTTTTATAGCATTGAAAAGAACTAGAGGTTGTATAATGACGGTAGGTAGTGTTCAGAATATTTGTCTCACATGCAAAACAGAAAACCTGTCGCATCTCACATATTTATGAGTACCCTGTTTAGGGTACACAAGAGAAAGATGATTCAAGAATACAATGTCTAATTGAAATTCAACAATAATTACATAGCAACAAATAATACTATTAACAATAAGAATGATGATAACATTAGAAACAAAATAATAATTCAAATGGGCTAGATCGAAAGCCTTATGGTTGCCTTATCCTCTGGACTCCAACAATGATTACCTATGCTTCATTTAATTTCGCCTGTTTATCACAAAGAATTTATTATTTTATTGCAATTCCGTTTTTGAGACTACTGTTTCCTACATGGACTGGGGTCAGTGTTTTATCCATTGCTCTTCCGTGGTGTCACGGCAAGAACTGAAAACATAGTACGCTAGTGGCTTTAGGCCAGAAATAAATAAAGCAGAGAACTCAACTGAGTATCGAGCGCGAATTTGGAAATATTAAGATACTCAGAAACAAACAATAAGTAGCACTGGGAAACATCAGGTCAAAATTGGGTCAAGATCGGAATTGTTAAACTCACTCATCTTGTAAACATATGTGGCTTCGCCTCCTATAGGAGGCAGTAGCCACAACAACTCATTACGAAAAAATAAATTCTTCAGATGTATGACAATTGCGTTTACTATAAAAGTGACAACATTAAATTCAATAAATTTCATTTTTGTAGCTGGTCACAGCAAGTCATGCTACCTTTTCTTAGCAGATCAAGAGACTCTAAGATTACAGGAAAGTAAAAGACGAGAAATCAGAATCCTGGCTACTGGAATTGTTTGGAAAAAGTATATAATTTTTCTACCAACCTGTTCACCTTGTTCACCCATTGGCCCGGGAGGTCCAGGAGGTCCTGTTGGACCCTTTGAAAATAAGAAAGTAAAATAACTTAACAAATAAATAAATAAATAAAAATTAACCTTATATTAAAGTGGTGTGCAGCGGCTAAACTTCAAAGAAGAAAGTCCAGATTTTAGCCATGTTTGAAGCGCCACATTTTATTTACAGCGCTTAACACTAATCAACGGGGAGTCTACACTTAAAGTAGAATTAAGCAAAAGGACACTGTTGTGGAAACTGATAAATATGCCTTGAATGTTCGAGTATGTGGGCATAAAATTCGACTGCACTGTCTTCGAGAAAGTGGAACCTTGATAATTTGATCAAGCAATTGTAAATATGAGAGCTTATGGTTGGCCTAAACAATAATCTCAAAGGAATAACCGTGAGAGCACAGACTTAAACCGCATGAATGCAAAGATTTGGGAATCAAACTTGTAACCTTAGATATGAGGGTTCGACACTTTTGCTTGTTGTGGATCCTGCCCTTCCCTAGCTCCATAGAATGTTGCGTAAACAAAGAAAAGCCAAAGAAGTTTGTTTAAGTCAAATGCAATGCTTTTACGAATTTTCCAAAACAATTTATCTCAGATTGTAAACTGCAGTGGTGAGAGGTGAGTGGTCTCACGATTATAACGCCCAGCCCCCTCACATCCTGCACGGAGGTTCACGATAAAAATAGGAATGACAAATAAGTGGAAGATCTTCCAACTTACATCTGCTCCATTCTCACCAGCAGATCCTGGCGTTCCTGGGGCTCCACGAGGGCCCTGCAGAAATTAATAGTTGGCAATTTAATAAATAATGAATAAATAAACAATTAAAACTTATTGACTAAACTTTCGATTAATGATAGACCAACCAGAAAAATTATCATCGAGTCTTACTCAAATTACACTCCCTTATAATGAGAACATTTGTACACTGGAAGCCGTTAGTAGAATGTGTGCGACGGAAATGTGCGCTCTTCATTGTTTGTTGTCAAGAGTGTCTTAAAAACTTGTTTGAATATGCTACAAGTTGCAAGATGAAGTTAAAATACCACAGTGCTAAATAATTCTTTCAGTCTGAGATCAGGTTTTAAGCCCACAAAACTTTTCACTTTTCTTTCATTCCCTCCTCCCCCCCCCCCCCTTCCACTGGAAATAGGTAAAAAGAAATAAATACTCACAGCTAATCCTGAGTCGCCATCACCGCCTGGTGTGCCAAAGATTCCGGGAGCACCCTTGAAAAAAGAAATCAGATAAATTGTTGAGTGGAGGAGACACTCTTTTAACAAAGATTTTTGTTGTGCAAAGGTAACTTGATTCCTCTCTGGAATTTTCCTTGAAAGTGACGCTAAAACTTCACGCAAGAGGATCAGTTTTCCCCTCAGCTGTTCTCTGGGATTTTTTGCAATACTCCACCCAACAATGAGAGGAGAATAGAGCGACATCCCTCGTGAAAAACTGCTAGGGAGACTAAAAGGTGATAGAGCATTCTTCAAAATGATGTTGGAAATAAAAAAAAAAAATAAAGCAAAACGCTGATAAAAGCGGTGGTACATACTCTTGTTCCTCGTTCTCCAGGCGCTCCTGGGGGACCTGGGGTTCCAGCATATCCCTGAGAAAAAAACAATAAGTGATCATTAGCATTGACTCGTTTTAGTAAAAGTTAAACTATTCATCCCATATTTTTGTGGATCAGATAACCGGAATTGTTACTGAGAATAATCATTCACATTTCCTCTGTAAGCAGTACAACATTTATACCAAGACAGAAACCTTCTCTCCAACTTTCTTAACCGAGCAGAACAGAACCGCGATATTAATAAAGGGGGCGAGTTTCTAAAGAAACTGTGGTGCTGCGTCGGTGGGAGAATATAACAGGTAATTTAGTGTTAACAACTGAGTTGGAAACGTAAATTGACCACCGTAAAGAGTTAAAAGGCTCACGTTTCGAGCGTCAGCTTTTTAACTATTTACGGTGGCCAATTTACGTTTTCAACTCAGTCGTTAGCACTAAATTACCACGATATAAGTAACCTGAATATAACAATTTACTGAGTGTGAACACGAAGTACACAAACTTATGCTTGATCTGCGAGCAGAGTTCCCTATTTGATTGAAGGATGTAAAAGTTGTTTGGCATTTTCCTTGAACAGGAGTTTGAAATTCTGATAAAACGTAAGTTTGCAATCCACAAATTCTTAAAAAAAAAACCAGCCAAAAGGTTTACACAACATCGTCTTGTTTATGTATCTAGTTTGAAATGGTATTTCATACCCTCTTGCCGTCTCTTCCTGTGTTTCCTCGGCCTCCTTGAGGACCTGTGTCACCCTACAGCAAAATCAAAATGTTTTAAGCAACTATCATTTCAATACAATGCAGCCAGTGCTCTGCCTTCTTACATGTTTTTTGAGTGATGCAATAGTTACGGCTTGGCATAAAAACTATACATTGTAATTAATACGGAGACTGATCATTGGATAAAAGAAGGAGTTACTGTAATACTAAGATAAAAAGAAATCCCCTCTCTCCCTATACAGATACCTAACGCAGTCTCCCAAACTGTAGAACTTAAATCAAATAGCTATCACACCCAACACGCCTTCCTGTTGGACTTCATTTTAACAGTTATTTTAAAAAAGTCTCCTTTACTGCGGACCATTATTTTATGAAACGTCCTTCCCATTCTCCCTTATGATAAAAATTCATAAAAACAGAAATCTTACCCTGTCTCCCTTGCTTCCAGGGGACCCTGGTACTCCAGGGCGACCTGGAGGACCCTAAGGAAATCAAAAATTGTTATCTAATTAAGTTATAATTCTTGTTTCTCTTTTTCTAGCGTGTTTGTAAAAGCTGACAACTATGGGACCTCGATCTGCTTGGTCACAGGATGCTTAGTGCCAGTCTACGACAAAATATAGCAGTTTTCATTGCTACTCTGGTGAGTTTCACTTCTGAAATGGACTCAGATATTTGACGTAAAATTCAAGCAAAACAAGTCAAAATGGTTGTTAAGTCTTAGAAACTACAAATCTAAACTTTCATCTACTCATGCAACTTACAAACAACCTTGGTAATAAATATAAAAATATTTTGGCTACAAAAACAGCTTTAAATCTCTACTGGCTGTACAAACATGCGTAATAACTGACATATAAAATAAATAGAAACCTCCTGTCATCAACTTACTGCTGCACCAGAGTTACCCTGGGGACCTTCTGGTCCTCTTTCACCACGTTCTCCCTACACAACAAGAATATGATGTTAGTTTTTGAAAATCAATACAATACAAAGGGGGGAATCCGGAGTACTATACGTTAGTTTTAGTGAAAAAGGCATATCTTGAGAAATTGTATAGATTTTTTAGTGATGAAATGGTTGCTGCTTCTCATCTTTTTCAGGGTACTACCAGGCCCAGAAATTAAGAGTGAAAAAGGTGTCTTTGTGTGTGTGTACTCACTTATAGAGGATTTGTGAAGCATGTTCTTGTGTAAGGCTTTCAGAATCAAGGAAATATGTAAGCATAGTGTACTTTAATGTCAGAATAAAACTGAATCATAGTAAAGCTGTAACATCTGTTGTCCTTTCTGTTAACTTTCACTTCATGCTACATCTTAAATATTTTATTTATCCCCCAGTGCTAAAAACTCACAGGTGTTCCATCTAATCCATTCTCCCCTGGTTTGCCTTTTTCTCCTTTGATGCCCTGAAGATAAAAGAAATAATTTCAGATCCAAATCTCTTTTTTACCAGTATCAGATTGCTCTAAAATGAATACATTCTCCTGGCAGCATTTGGAAATTGAGAACAAATACTCCTTAATAAACATCCACCTTAGATTACAATAGATTCACTAACTGACCAACCACTGTATATATTTGAACTAAGTGAGGTATACTCTTCATTAAAATCTGTCTGATGATCTTGTAAGTGTGAAATTCAGAGTCAGAAAAGTTATGTCTTATGGATTAGTTCAACCTTCAGAGACACAACATAAATGCCTTTAAAATGAATGTACAACTAGCAACATAATTATCTTCTCTAAGTAACCACATACCGATTCACCCTGAGGGCCTGTTTCACCTGGAGGTCCAGCATCGCCCTGCAAAAAAGCAACAAATGTTTCATATACATCATACAGTCTACTTGTAAACAGCTACTTGATGCATTCCAATGAATGATCTGAAGTAAGGTTAAATCATACTATATGTCATTTGTCTCAATAACAGTAATCATTACTAACAGGGTCTCCAGGTATTCCATCTTGTCCCCTCTCTCCAGGTGGTCCCTGATGAAAGATAAAATAACAAATTTTCAACAGCTTATTTTGTCCAAGAGTGCAATGAGAAACTTTTTGATTGGCTCATGTGCCAGTGTAAAATAAGCTATGCCTCAACTGTATTTCAGTGGACTTTACTGTTTAGCTATTTCTTGGAAAGATTAATTTAGCATTTTATTTACCTTCTTTCCATCAGGGCCTGGTGGTCCAGCTGGTCCAGGTTCACCTTGGGCTCCCTGTAAACAACAACAGGCAAGGAGCATCATTAGTTACAAATTATTTCAGAATATACCACACAGTACACATTTAACATTGGATCTATATTCTAATATTTAAATCATAGGGAATACCCTGTGGTAAACACTATATGCAAATGAAAACAAGGGGAAACATATCTACTTACAGCTAAACCTCGTGCACCAGTTTGGCCTGGAAAACCTCTTAAACCTGGTGTTCCCTGTAAAAAAAAAAAAAAGTAAAAAAAAAAATATATATATATATATATATATATATATATATAACTAACTGCAGACAGTACTGTTTCGGCCTTCTGGGCCTCATCAGTGCAGTGCTGAGGCTAGGATGGAGGTAAGGCCATATAGCTAAAATCTCACATATGTGGGATCATCTAAGCCATGCCAGAGTGCTCAAACTAGAAAAACTATATATATATATATGTATATATATAGAGAGATGCATTTTTTCTGATATTTATAAAAACTTTATGAGTTAAAAGCAACATTGCAACTGGCCCTCAAGAAATGCAGGAAGATGGATCATTAACTTAAGTGAATCGGGGAACTCACCTACCCTGGAATGTTAGAGTTACTTTCTCTGCAGTCTTAACTGATCAAATCTTGTAATAATAAACAGCATAACCCTTTGTTGACATTAAAAAAACAATTTGCAGTCTTTCTAATTTTATCATGTATGGTACTCACATCAGCTCCTGGTGTTCCTTGCTCCCCCATTGCACCATATTCACCAGAAGCACCCTTTAGCAAAAAGACAAAACAGGTACAATAAACAAAGAATAACGTCACATATGAAATGACAAAGTTAACATTAACAGACAATGTTAACATTAACACATTTTTCCTTCACTGAGAAGTGGGGGAAACTGTAGTGTTAAGAAGTGGTTCATGATGGATTTAAATGTGCTATGTAATATGGATAGGTGTGATGGACTGGATAAGAAATTGTCCTGTAGAAAGAGGATCCAACTGCATATTTCATGGGGTAATGTAAAAAGTTGAGTAATTAGTTTGTTCAGGTTTAGGTTGAGCTGGTAAGACATCTTATAACGATTTGAATAACCTGTTATCTGCTATTTTTCAGTTCAAATGGACAACATATCTAGATGAACGTCAAAACCTTTAAATGGACCACCATAGAGTTAAAGTAAAAGGTAAGCTCAGTGTGAATCTATTAAACCACCTGCAATATTCTGTGTATATAATGGTGGAAACTTGTATAAAGTGAATTCACAGTATGTTGTGCAAAGATATAAATTAAAGCTTTTGCTGCTCAAGAAGGCCAGAATTTCTATGGGAACTAAATTGTGTGATTTTCTGTTAAAGAAATACATGAAAAGGATGAAATAGGAAAGAAAAACTGACAATTTCAATTTTTTTTTCACATCACACAATGAATACTTAATATTCACCTTTTTAACCCTCATAGGTGTTTTAAATGAGTAAATTCTTCATGCAAAGTGAGAGGATGCTATCTTTATCAAAATTCTCCAAACTGATTTACTGGGATAAGTATAGCAAGTCAAAGGGAGAATATATGCTGATCAGATCTTTGGAGTTACAGGTAAAGGGACAGAAGATGGTCAATGTTTGCAGCATTTCATTCATTATAAAGGCTATAAAGTTTACATGCTACATGGCATTTCTTAGTCAGTTTACAGACATATTTGAGAAATAACACATAGAGAGACCATACCGGAGGGCCTCTTGAGCCAGGAGGACCAGATCCTCCAGCCTTGCCCGGTGCACCCTAAAATATGAAAAATTGAAAAAGACTCATTGCTTTAAAATCAATGACTAGGCAGTATGTAGCATTTCTGGCCTTCTCTCCATATTGAAACCTGTAATGGTTTTTATTGAGCAAGTGGGAAATTTGAACCTTTCCTGGATGGCATGGGGAATTTGAACCAGAACAGTCAAATCTTTCCAGCTGAATAAACATGTTTTATCTTTTAATATCAAAGTGTTTAAGGGTAGAAAGTTCACCTTCACGAGCAGATGGCCAGAGGAAGGGGGATCTTGAAGCTTCAAATTGTTATACATAATAGTCTCAAAAGGTAATTTTTTTTAAAATTAATGGTTCCCCTTGTTTAGCCTTTTCTTGACACTCGTGAACTGTAACAGTTCTTAAGCATAGGATGAGCAGGAATTCTTCTTACATATCTGCTCACACTAACAGTATTGGATCAATTCAGGGCAGTTTTTGTGATGAATCCTACTCTTCCCATGGTTGTAATCAAAACAGTTATAGCAAAGTACCCTCCCCTCCATGTACCCACCTGTTCTCCCTTTTGGCCAGAAACTCCAATGCCACCGTTAGGTCCTGGAGGTCCCTGTTAGATTGATAAACATCAAACAACCCTTAATAATTAAGGTTCACTTTGATCTAAAAAATTATGAGGCAATCAATAAACTATACATCACTTGGTCTTCCACACCTGATAAAAAAACTACAAGGCTCAGGGGGGGGGCAACAACCCTTCTCCACAGGCCCCTAGACTGCTGATTGAAGGGTTGAAGTAATTGTCTGACATTGCATCCAGTGCAGTTATCTTATTTTGAGGGTCTGTAAAAGGGGCAAATATTCAACTAGGGGTGAAAATCATTTCAGTTTAAAAGAGTGTGCTTGTCAGTGGGTAGGAAGGCAACTAATAATTCAAATCACTACTGGCAGCATACTTGGTCTAGAAGTGGCCAACTTTTACTAGCAGTTGTTCCCGATAGACCCCACTCGTTTCCCATGAAATGGTATTTTAACACTTACCGGTGGTCCTGCTTTGCCAGGTTCACCGTCTTTTCCTCTTGCACCCTATGAAGGTTCAGATAACAAAGTTAAAGTTTCATAGCCTAGCCATATACAATCACAAAAGAACAGGTATTATCCACAGAACATGCATAAAAGTTTTAAGGCCACTAATCAAGTAAGGTTTTCCACCTGAAGCATGCTCAAGCTTCACTTTACACAACAATTAAATTACAAGACAGTGAACACTGCCAGAGATTGCTTCATATTAGAACAAACATAAAGAGTTGTTTTAAAGATTGCTCAATCTGCCCCAAGTTCATGCTCCAAAATAAAAACTTCAGCCCTCAGAAGTGAATCATACAGAGTTAACCATTAACATATGGTGCTCTGCTCTTGGACTTTGTCCTTCAGGCGTAAACCAAGAACAAAATCCTTTAGGTGGGTCAGCCTTAAAACTCAAGCAGGTTGTGATTGAACTCTTATCAAATGAGAATGCAACACTTCCCTTAACCCATAAAAGGATACCTCCAGACAATAACTATTTCTAACTAAGCATATTTATTCTTATTGAATAACACATGCAAGATAGGAATAGGCCACATATTAGGGATTTTTTTTCTAACCTTTTCACCATCTCTTCCATCACCTCCTGGATCACCAGGTGCCCCTGGAGCTCCCTGGATACAAAAGTGTCAGTCAGTAACATGCAGCCATCCAATTCATTATAACACACAAGTACAATGAAAGAAAAGAAAGTCCCATCAACAGGTCCACTCTGGCAAACTTTCTGAATTGAATTCTTTATAAGGGTTAATTACTCTCACTGTCAAGAAAACTTGAAAAAATGCTGCAGAGTAAACTGGATTGGCATTTCATCCAGGGGAGAATTTTTAAAAATACTCCCTATCACTCCATGTTCCAGAAACCACCAGGAAAAATTCTTGCAAGATGGGTCACAAGACTCAGACGCTAGCAACAACTTGATCCTCACATGTAAATAGCCGTAAACAATGTTCAGGCTATCAATCATTCTTCAACCTTCAACCTAATTTCCCAACAAGCCTGAGGGTAAAATTTAAATTATTCTGAATTTTTCCAAAAAGGACTGGAAATGTGATATACAAGAAGTTTATCAACAAAATTGCAGAAAGTAAACCCCAAAACAATAATTTGGGCTTGGCTGGGGTTGAGACTTCACTGACAAATTAAAAGCAATTATACAGTCTTATGACAACTGCCATTGATATTAATTCAAAACAATACACAAAGTAACACAAGACACCCACCCTTGGACCAGCTAGACCATCCTCTCCAGAAATACCATCAGGTCCCTGAAGGTAAAGAAAAGGTTGAACACAAAATATAAGTATACTGGACACTTTCTCAAACATTAAATAAATGAATAAAAGCCAAAACAATAGTCAATCAAAGTTATTTCATTTTCAAACTGAACAAAATTTGTCATAATACTATACCCGTTCTCCTTTTTGTCCATTTTTGCCAGAATTTCCTGGTTCTCCAACACTTCCCTAGCAAAATGGAGATTACAAAACAATTCATTACAAACATATTTTACATTTTATATATTTAAAATAGGTGTAAATTACAATTAAATGTTTGTTCTTGTCTAGTTTTTTCCTTTATTTTCATTATCATAATAGCTGTAATAATGTTGTGTTCTTCAACCATAAAATTTACCCTTCCCACCCAGAAGTATGAAATTTGACCCTTTAACTCCTAAGAGTGACTGGCTTCTAGTTTCTCCTTACAATCTCATTCTTGAGTCAAATTTTAAAAAGTTCTGATTGTTAAACAAATTCTCATTGTCAGTACCAAAGGAAATCTATTGGGCATGGAGAACTAGGATACTGATGTAAGGGAGCAAAAGATTAATGGGTACTGATGAACTCTCTGGGAATGAAACCCGTTAAGATATTGGTAATTAACCATGTGATTGGACAGCATTCCATCCAGGAGGAGTAGCAAGCTTACTTCACCTTTTATCACTTCAAAATGACTGCTTTCAAGTTTGCACAGTTACTTACATCTGCTCCTGGTAATCCTGCTGGGCCCATGGAGCCTGGAGGGCCACGCTGTCCCTAATAACATATATTCAAGATAATGTGAGTATAAACAGGTAAATATATGCAGAACAATACAAATGAAAGCCATACACAGCACTAATAAAAAGAACAGTTTTATGCACATGTAAGAAGAGCTAGAAGCCCCTCTTCTGTTCCCATACAATGCAAAAAAGATTAAAATTGATCAACTGTTAACCTTGGTATTTTGATAAATACTGTAGTTTACTCCTTGAAACTCACTGATTGTGGTAGACCACTATGTGGCTCAAAGTGCAAAATTTTTCTTGTGAACTACTGAAATATGACTGTTATTTGCATATCCATCAAATGTATTTATAAGACATCTTTTTGTTGTTAATATTTCAAAAAGCATAATAATATCCTAGCTCTTGCTCCACAACAAGAACTCGTTAAAATAATTAAAAGCAAGAATGAAGTTGAAAAACAACATAAATGTAAACTTTGATTACCTTGCATTAAAAGATACATTCAAAATTGTTACACACAAAAAATAAGGATTTATAATTAAGAAGACATCAAGACGAAATAATTAATTTCCAATAAATGAAATATCAGAGAAAAGATTTGGAACCAAAATTCAGAGTCAATATTTAATAGCATTTAGTCACTGTAAGTAACAAACTTCTGAAAGTAACCAGAAAAAACCCTCAGTAGTCAGTCAAAAATTTCTAGCAGATTTAAAATTGTTGGACTGGAATTACTAACTAAAGTTAGACAGTGATCTTCCACTCTGTTTAAATCAGAAAAACATTTCAAAGGTCTTCCTTACCGGGGCACCTTGTTCTCCAGGGGCTCCCATCTGTCCTGGTTTGCCTCGCTTTCCCTAAAGCAAAACATTAGCCTATTTAGTAAATTTGTGACATACTCAGTAAACATAATCACATTCAATTGTAAAAGTGTGATTCATATTCCTGTTGAGCATGCTGATGATGTATGTGAGTACAGTAAAACTTGGCAGGAAAAGCTCCACATCATATGCAGAAACTGCTGCATACAAACTTTACAAAATAATTGGCCTGCATGACGCTTTGCCAAAATCAGGAAAAAATGCACCTCAGATCTTTTTGCAAACCATTTGGTAAAACATCTAAATTCAATTGTCAGTTTATCAAGCAAGGAGTAGATGGTCTTCTCCTTTTTTTTGTCTCATGCACTGTCTGAGGTTTCCCAACCAGATCTTCCAGAAGGCTTTTTAATTTGTTACCTTAATTTATTATATATGAAGAATCCTTCATACCAATGTGATTCAATCGATAGTGAGTATTTGCATGAGTTGATTTAAAAAAATTACATGGATTGGCCACTAATTACATTCTCCTGAAGTTCAGAAAACAAAGTGACTCACTTGTCGTCCTCGTGGACCTCGTGGTCCATTTACACCCCTGGGACCTTCATCTCCCTTAGAAATGGGAAAAAAAACCAAATATATGTCACAAATTTCAATAAACAAGTCATAGTTAAATGTGAATGGAAATAAATGGGAATGAGAACAGAAATGGTAATTTAGCAATGGAAATTCCATGAAGTAACTCTTCTTGTCCACTTTTTCCAGGTCAAATTGGAATTTCAAATGTGGTTTTTGCAGAAGGAGGCAAACCATAAGAGCCAGGGAATAACCCACGGAGTAAGGAAAAGAACCAACAACAAAATCAACACATGTGACACCAGGTTCAGGAATCAAACCCAGGCCACAGTGGTGGGTTAGTCTCTTCAAAGTTAGCCAGGAACTAGGACATGGCTAGTAAGTAACTCACACTTTTATGTGGACTTTAAGTATGTCTGTCTCACACTAACTGAAACAAGTTGAATTCAAAATTGCGTTAATATTAATTATATAATGTTTTACATTAAACATACCCTTGAGCCACTCTGACCAGAAAGCCCTGGAGGTCCTGGGGGTCCAGTCTCACCCTGGTAAGTGCATGGAAGATAATAAATACCTGTTATCTATTTGCAATCAATGTGGATGTACTGAGGGGTGCAAGAATGAGGTTTTTTTCAAATTTAATTTAACATTCTTTAAGATGATTTTAGCTCATAAATTTATACTTCACAAAGTATTTCATTCACATCTGGAGATGCAACCTAAATATGCTTGTAACTAGAATATAACTGTGAAAAGGTTGTAACTTGATGAAAAAATGTTAAATAAAACAATAAAATGGTTAGTATGTTTATTCACAGAGTTGCACTCCAAGTTGTGTTTTGGCTAAAATGGGGGTTTGGAACTTCAAGGTACAAATGATTGTTCTGACTACCAGTTTGAAAATTTCTTTTACCTGCCATGCTTAAAATAAGGCAGAGCACTGAATACATCAGTGCACCTCACCACAGACAGGCAAAAATGCTCTAACCAGGAAGAGCCTATATTTACAAATGTGGCTTTTAGATGTTTCATTAATTTCTTGAAATAATTAAGAATTGTTTTGATTTAATTCTAGTTGATACTTCAAATTCAGCAAGAAATAAAGTTTTCTTATATTGACATGGAGACCTTCTGATTTCCACAAACTGCTAGTTACTTCATGACCGATAGGTCTATATCAATAAGTTAAAAAGGCTTTTGAAAACATGACCCACCTGTGACCCGGGCGCACCTTGGGTTCCATCTAGACCAGGACTACCCTAGATAAATTATTATGACAACAAGAAATCAGCAATAAATCCAATAAAAGTCAGTTATTACTATGCTATACAACCAATGAGTCTTCTCGTTATTGACTATCTGTTACCTAATTTGTTAAACAAAAGAGAGCTTGCTTTTATTAATAAGGGATTCTTTCAACAGACTTATTTCTCTTCCTAATATCCTCAAACTAACTACCCTAGCAAAATAAACTAGTGATCTTTGAGATTAGCTGACCATGTAACCTTGACCCTTCAGACACTCAGAGAGACCAGCATCAAATACCTCCTTGCTGACATTAAGGTCATGAGAATAAAGGAAATGATCACCAATTAAAGAATGAGGCTCTTAATCTTTAAACAAATTCTCCCACTTGGCACCTTAAGAAATATCTGAAGAACAGCATAGAGAATATGCATACCGATTTTAGAAATTTTCCGATTTTAACCTTTTTAGGGTGTTAAAGGTTACTAGGCCCTAGGATTGCTTGAGGTCTCCTCCTTGTCACATACTTCATGCCTTAAAACTATTTTTTGTGAAATGCATGGTGATGAATTAACAGGAACTTAAATTAACATTTGTCTTGACAAGTATGAGGCTTAAAACACCTGGAAATTAGGCTGTTAGCTATTTCTTGTGAATGTGTAAAAATTAGTTAATATGTGTTGCTGTAAAATTCAACAAAAAAAAAAACTAGTCTTTTTACCATAATTATTTTTAACATATTGCAGTATTTGATTTTTAGGCTTATAGAGATAAATGAATATTTTAAAGATAGGTACAAGTAAACAAAAATTCCAGAACGTGATCTGCACAAGTTGTAAGGAGAAAAATGATAGCAAAAAAAACTCATACTGTACCGTTTTTCCTGGGGCTCCAGGTAAGCCTTGTGGTCCAGTTGGTCCACTGTCACCCTGAGATAAGTTAAAACAAATTATGGAATGCATCCAATCACATATTGGAAAAGGTCTTGATGGGGTAGTACACCAAAAATGTTGAGAATGCCATCAAACATTTCACGATTGCTACACATCATAAATGATGAACATAATATGACCAAGAAGATTACAGACTTAACATGGCAGGAAATTCTAAAACTGTGTGTAATATCTCAAGGAAATAGTAGCTGTATAGAGCAAGAAGAACACTCCACCACATAAACTTCACAAAATTATGTGCAAGACTGGAGAAGGTGCATAAAATTTTTCTAATGATTGATTTTAAATTATTTATTTGCAAAATTAAGACACACTGGCCCAGTTCAGCTTTAAAACTAATTTAAATAGGGTCCTGTATCAACAATAACAAGGCCAGATCACAACACTGGGGGCTACATTTCCAACTCTTTGCAAAAAGTCTGTGTGTTTTTCAATGTCCCCTGCTAACCATTACAAAGAAGATGCAATCATCCCTATCTGAGAAGACAAGTCAAAGAGTGTCTAACAATTTGCAGAAGTCATAGCAAAGGCACAAAATTTCCCTCAGTTATTTTAACACCCTGAGTGCTAGCCATGTCTGGGGCTTGAGCCCCACACCAACTGCACCACAGTTTAGCGCTTTACGACACAAGCTAAAAAAATGTGGTTAAAAGAAAAAAAAAAGAAAGGAAGAAAGAAATATAGAAAAAGAGAAACCTCAAATTCAAAAGAAAAAAATGAAAAAGATAGGATGAAACCCATTGGATCAACTTGACAAGGAAATTGACACAAGTGAAAGTGAAGAAATTTGTGCGATAGCAAAAATAAAAAATGCAAATCACCTGTTCTCCTTTCTGTCCTTCAGCACCATCTGCACCATCCTGACCCTGAAAAGAATGGATTAGTTAGTCGACAAAAGCTATTTTAAGCAACAAAAACACAGAAAACTGTTTTAGATGTGTGACAATTAAAGACCAAGCCCTTGTGCCTGAGAAATAGGTCTGAAGTGAATTCTATACAAACTTTAATAACAAGTTGTTTTTAATTATGCCCCTACATTTGGTCTGTGTAAAGCAATTCTGCCATCTTTTTTTTTTTTTTAACTATACATGTAAGTGACAGTATGGTGAGGTTGTGGCTATATCACAGTGTTTTGAGTCTGACTTGCTGTGGCTAAAATAAGATTAAAACATGTTTCATAAAAAGGAATCACTTACAGGTTCTCCTGGATCACCAGCAGGGCCCTGTGGCCCTGGTTGACCGGGTAAACCCTAGAAAAAGAAATTTAACAAATAATGGATTTGCCAACATTTATATACAGTATCTTGTATCAAAATTGCCTGTAACTGCAATATGAGTAAGCCTGCCAATCTGTGGAGCCAATTAACACATGAGATTTTCATCCTCAGAGTACCAGTCCAGAGTTCATGTACAAAACCTGATCATATCCAAAGATGTGAAAAAATATCAAAGACAATCATACTTGCCTACATACTCTTTGAGATAAGTCATGAAGAGCCAAACTGTAAATGTGACTGCAGAGCTTTGCCTTCAAGATCATGTGCAAGGGCTCCTTTCACTTCTATTCAATTTGCTTTTACTTTGCACTAAAAAACTTTTTTATTAAGAAAGTTTTTTACTAACCAAAATTTTTCTACTTTGGGTGTTTCAAACAAACACATGTTAAAATTAGCATGAGGACAGTACTGACCTGTTTGCCACGCTCTCCTTCTAAACCTGGGTCTCCTGTTGAACCTTTCTGACCAGCAGCTCCTGGTGCACCTGCCGTGCCTGCCACACCTTGGGGTCCCTAGATGAACAATGATCCGCAAATTTTAGATTCCTTCAGAATGGATAATTATAATAATTGTTTCAATGTAATATTTGCAGACTTATATGTCAAAAATCATATACAATTGTATTGTCTTTTAAAACCTTAAATGTAGATTTCTTTGAAACTTTGAATGCATTGGACATTGATAAACCAACAGGGCTTAACTTATAAAGCACATGGCTAATTTCCATATCTGACTAAGATAACACTCAAGCAAACTTTGAACATGGTCTGCCACAGGCATTCCATGCAATTGGTCATTGAGGACACTTAGCCTTCTCAGAGTGATAAGCATCTCATTTCTCCTAACAGTATCACCACTGAATCAACCATTAAGGTCATAGGAATAAAGGAAATGATCATGAGCTTGAGAAGCTCTTGATTGCTACACAAATTCTCCTTATAAGCACCATAGGAAATGGGGTGGAGAACAGTAAGGAGAACTTGCATTCAGATGTTAGGGTGTAAAGGGTTAAAACGAGGTTGGGGCTATACAACACAAACTTGCTAACAAAGTACTCACCTGTGCACCAGGAGGTCCTTGAGCTCCAGTATCTCCTGTTAATCCCTAAAAAATTGATAAATATCATGCCATAGATAAAATAATAGAAAGCTGTTCTTTCTGTTTATTTCAGGGGTAAAACTGCATGTCATTCAAAAATGACACATTTCAATTACTTGGATTTGACTTCAGTTTTTTCAAAACAAATGATGATGTTGGTCCATTTAGTCAATCTTGCTGACACTTTTTCTGTAAAGAGTTTTGCATGTATTTTGTTTTAAAAAAAGGCTCACAAACATGCATAATCGATAGATACCTCTGATAACAAAGTGAATCTACATTTACCACTGTACAGTACTCAGCAGAGGCTGGCCAAATCAAAATATAATTGATAAGCCTGTGAACTTACTGGTGGTCCTGCAGGGCCATCAGGTCCAGGTAGTCCTTGAGCACCTGGATCTCCCTGCAAAAGAAATGCAATCAAATCATTCTTAACCCCTTAACTACCAGTAGTGATTAA